AGGTTAGTGTAGGTTGGGCGCTCAATGTCGAGGTTTCTACGACAGATGTCATAGATGGCCTCGTTGTCTACCATGAAGGCACAATCAGAGTGCTCCAGGGTGGTGTGGGTGGTGAGGATGGAATTGTAGGGCTCAACCACAGCAGTGGAAACCTGGGGGGCTGGGTAGATGGAGAACTCCAGCTTGGACTTCTTTCCGTAATCAACAGAGAGCCGCTCCATCAGCAGGGAGGTGAACCCAGAGCCAGTACCACCACCAAAGCTGTGGAAAACCAAGAAGCCCTGAAGACCCGTGCACTGGTCAGCCTGTAGGAGAAAAGAAAATGTATTGTTGTATTGGCAAGCACACTCAACACCAGAACCCTCTAACTGCATTTTAAATGTACCCATCTATGGCATTTACCAGCTTGCGGATTCGGTCCAAGACAAGGTCAATGATCTCCTTGCCAATGGTGTAGTGGCCCCGGGCATAGTTATTGGCAGCATCCTCCTTGCCTGTGATGAGCTGCTCAGGGTGGAAGAGCTGGCGGTAGGTCCCAGTGCGAACTTCATCTGGAAAAGGAGAAGCAGTCAGCCACCCACCAACAATCCGCACACGCTCACTCACTGTTCGGTGTCCGAAGAGACACTGAGTCTGTGAGCAGGACAGAATGCCTCAGGGAAGCTCCCGGTCCACTTACCTATAACCGTGGGTTCCAGGTCTACGAACACGGCCCTGGGCACATGCTTGCCAGCGCCTGTCTCACTGAAGAAGGTGTTGAAGGAGTCATCTCCTCCCCCGATGGTCTTGTCACTGGGCATCTGGCCGTCAGGCTGGATGCCATGTTCCAGACAGTAGAGTTCCCAGCAGGCATTGCCGATCTGGACACCAGCCTGGCCAACGTGGATGGAGATGCACTCACGCTGTGGAATGAGAGGAAGGTGGGGGAAAAAAAATTAGCAACGCCAAAAGCAGCTGGTGTTCTAGCTCACAGGCACAACGTGACCTTAAAACTCGCAAGCATTTCTTTATTTAAAGCAAAAAAAAAAAAACAAAAAAAAAAAACAAAAAAACAGCCGATTTCCCCTTTTCACACCTAGGAGTTCTTAGTCATACTTCCTCTTTTTAAAAACCAAGACACCCTCCGTCCTCCGAGTTCTCCTTCTGCCTTGTGTCCCGATTTCCGGACAGCTCTAGGCAGAGGAAGCGGGTGGCTGAGCAGTGAGGGGAGATGTCTCGCTGCAGCAGGGACAAGGGGCAGGGCTCTGCCGAACCAGACAAACGAGCCAGGAGAGCAGGCAGCCAGGCGCCCGGGAGGCTGCTGGTGGGCACCGAGCTCAGCTCCTCCACCTCTGCTCCGGTCCGGCAGGAGATGATCAACCGCCCAGGTCCCATTTCTGTTCCCCAGAAAACCCTGCAGTGTGGCCCCCTGGCCCCCCATAAATTCCTAACTCGAGACCGCTGGGACTCCATGCTGTGGGCGAGTTGCGCATGGTGGAATGCAGTTGAGGAAACCCTCCCCATATTCCTCATTCCCTTCGTTAAAAGCAAAAGGAAGGTCAAGGCTGAGGTTGTACCTCGGCAGCTTAGAATGCGAGGGCCTGGGTTCGTCCCCCGCCCCGCCACCCCCAAACCCACAGGTCCAGGGAGACACACCCTGAACGGAGGAAACCCGCAGTGCCCCAGCGCGCACGCGCACTCTGCAGAGGCGGTTCCCGCCGCGCACTGGCGCGCACTGGCGGCGGCGGCGGGAACCTAACGGTCGCGCATGCGTCCTTTGTCCCCGGCGCCTTCCCGCCCCCGCCCTTTGGCGCCGAAGAGGAAGTGAGGGCGGGGAAGAGGCTCGGTGCTCGCGCCCGCGCAGCCGAGCGTGGGGGAAGGGCCCGCGGGCGGGAAGGCTGGGGTCGGAGAGCGCCATGCCGCAGCTCCTGCACCGATACGGATGCAGACCCGGAGTCCGGGAGGATCCGGGGGCGCCCCTTCCCGCACGCCCCCCCCAACGCCAGACCCCGGGCGTCGCCCCGCAGCCTGGGCCCCACGCTCTCCGGTTCGCACACGCCCGGGCCCCGGGGGCCCCAGCGAGCCGCCCTCCCGTCCCCTCCCGCTCCCCCTGCCCACACCCGATGCGCTCACCATGGTAGTAGCTACGGGTTAGAAGGCGAGGGTGAGAGAAGCAGAACACCGGGTCCCGGTTACCGTTCCCGACAGCTAAGAGTCGAGGTAAGTAACGCAATGAGGCAGAGGCGGCGGCGCGGGCGCCTCTTAAGTAGCCGCCGGGGCGGGGCGGGCGCGGCCGGGTGGCC